CCTTCCCGGCCGACTTCTGCGAGGGCACCTTGCCCTACTCCTACAACCTGTGCGTGGCGGCGCCGGCCCGCGCCGTGCCCGAGGCCGCTTGGCCGCCGCCGCCGGTGCCCATCCTGTCGGCGGAGGAGCTTCTGGGCGGGGATTGCTGCGAGAAGCCGATCACAAACACCAGCGCCGTTGCGGCAGAGCTGCCTGGCGATCCCGATGCACCGCAGGTTTGTAAAGCTGTGTCTTGCTTATGTCCTTGAAGCTTTCCGAATGTCTTTCCCGTTCCCCTGGTTTTCTCTGGGTGATGTCTATTAGGAGCTCTCATCTGTCTCCTTGTAGCATGGGAAATGTTTGCTATTTCTTTGGTAACAGCTTTAATTAGAGCTCATAGGCTTTGACTGTCGCTCTCCTTTGAGTTAGTAGCAATAGTCGTCCCTTTTTTTTCTGGGACCGCGTTTTTGTGAGTTGCACGTTCATGTCTGCGTGAAGGACTGAATTAAGGAGCGGGCTGCCCCGTCCAAGGAGAGCAGGGAGCACTTGGTTCTTCCTTGTTTTCAGTTCAACTTCAGCGTAGAGGGTTTTTTTTTTCAACACTTGTGCTCTTAAATTAGAATGTGTTAGCAATATTGAAAGCAGATCCTTATTTTGTGGAACGGGAGTGGCAGAATCTGCATGACTGAGTCTAGAAGAATATCCCACTGTCACCTAGTGGTGGTACTTTTCTCTTCCTGACTGATTTGTTCAGAAAAGGGGTCCTTGCATCTTGTTTATGGCTTTACAAACCCGTTCGTTACAATTTGTTGTGTCCTTATTGGATTCACAAAGGAAACCTGTGTGGGAAGTTCCGTTCTCTATCCTGAGTGAAAGAAAGAGTCGAGTTTATCGAGAACAGGAAATTTTTGTAATTCTTGCTGTTTAGTAGTACAGTATCTGAGGTTCGAAGGGATCAAATATCAAGGAGATTTAGGCACTTGAATCAAACCACTTGCACATTTATTCGTGCTCATCACAGTTTCGACAGTGCAGCTGTAATTTTATTGTACTCTTCTATAATTCTTTTCATGAAAAGGTATAGTACTAGTGTCATTAATTAGACTTAGATGACTGGTCTACTAACGAGCTTCAATTTTTTACACCTTGATTTTGGAGAAACGGAAACCTAGAATGACTTGATTAAATGTAAATCTGTATAAACTAAGAAAATTTTACTTTTATCTTGGGAAGGAGTATCAAATATTTGAAGTCCTGAAACTTTCAGATTTTTAGCTGCGACTTTATTTCTTTCTATAACTCAGTCCTGTAACAGTTAGCTCTCTGACTTCAAGAGATATGCAATTGCTATCATCTCGCTAGTGTTAATGAACCTGATAGATCTGTGTTTTCAGGATGCGGTATTTTCACGTTTTCTGTCTGCGAGACGGTTGTTGAAGATCCTTTTGAACTAAAGGATAAGAATAACAGTAATCTAGAGGGTAAAATTATAAAAATAAGCTTTAATTAAAATAAATTAACACTAGTAATTTATTAGTTTTCTGAGCGGTGGAAGCCCCGCGCCCAGGGATTCCCTCTGCTTTCCTCCCGATCGTAATCCGCTGGAGGATCAAAGCAGAGATGGTCTGGAGAAAAGCAGAGGCAGGAGGTGCCCGCTGGAAGGGATCAGATGTCTCCGTGGCGACCCTCCCGTTTCCGCGAGCCGCCCGTGTGCGAGGCAGGGCGGGCAGTGCTCGGTGCCTGCAGTGCCGGGAGGAGGCTGCGGGCGCCGCTGTTGACCGAGAGAAGCGAAAGGAAGATCGGAGCGCTGGAGGCAGCCCCGCCCGCTGAGGATCGGCTCGCTCGTTTGCTGCGCTCCCTATCTGGCCCCTGGACCCGCGGTGCTGATCCGTTCTGCAGCCAAGCGGAGGGACCGGCGGCTGCGGTTCGGTGCAGAATCTGAAAGCTTTGAGTGGGAGCCGGGAGTTCGATCGGCGGTGTTTCGGTGCCGGCGGTGCCGCGGCGGAGATGAGCGCGGCGGGGAGGCGCTGGGGCCGGCGGCAGCGAGCTCTGCTCTGGGGTGTCCTGCTGATGGCGTGGGAGGCGGCGTGGGGGCAACTGCGCTACTCGGTGCCCGAGGAGATGCCCAAGGGCTCGTTCGTGGGCGACGTAGCCAAAGACCTGGGGCTGCAGCTACTGGAGCTCCGAGACCGCGGCTTCCACATCTTAGACAGAGGTAGGACGCAGTATTTCGCTCTGCACGGGAAGACGGGACATTTAGTGACGGCGGAGAGGATCGACAGAGAGCAGCTGTGCGAGCGTGTGCCGCAGTGCGTGCTGCGCTGTGAACTGATAGTGGAGAGCGACATGCAGGTTTACGGAATCCAAGTGGAAATCACAGACGTTAACGACAACGCGCCGAGCTTCCGGGAGATAGAAAAAGAACTTAGAATGAGTGAGGTGACAGCCCCGGGTTCGCGGTTTCCCTTGGCCGAGGCTCACGACCCGGACTCGGGCCGAAATTCCCTGCAGAGCTACGAGCTGAGCGGCGACGAGCACTTCTCGCTGGCCGTGCAGGCGGGCCCCGGCGGCGATCAGCGTCCCGAGCTGGTGCTGGCGAAGGC